TGAAAAACGCACTGACGTATCAAGCACGCCCCAGAGAGAGAGAGAGAGAGAGAGAGAGAGAGAGAGACTGTGAGAGAGAGAGAGAGAGACTGTTGACCAGTGCGTATATACAAAGATAGTGACTATCATTGGTATATAGTAGTAATATATACTCGCATGACGCATTCGTCGCGTCGCTGATAATTTCTCGTTGTAGAGATCGAGTTATTGCTTTCTTATCTTATTTCATCTCTTGGTCAGAAAGAAATATCCACGACTCACCCATAGTCAGTTACAAAATAATTATACATCATGTATATTATAACGAACTGATTGTACTGACCGATACGCACACTCATGAGAAGGGGGGTAACTTCTTTATTACTTAATTACTAGTTTATATGAAAGTTGTCTCCCCCAAAGAGTCCGATCTATCACCTTGACCTTACAGTAGACTTGGGTCGAAGTTGAAAGTTGAAAGTTGATGTGGAACAGCTTGCGGCTTGCAGTTTGCAGTGTTTCCAGGAAATCGGACATGCGGAGGGTAAGAGTCCAACTGAATGTTTACCTAAGCTACTTTGTATTTATATTAATTGTTATTTTCTTGATTGTTGACAGGTAAAATGTCCTGTGTGTTCAAGTCAGGGAAATCCCCTCAAGTAAAAGGTGATTTGATTACATAGGGCCTAAAATAAATCCAGGTCCATTCAAATAGATAACTCTGCCAATCTCTAAATCTGCACCCTGGAATGTTGACTGCGACAAGAAGTCGTAGAAATCTAGACTTGGACTGAAGCATGATTACTGAATAGATCTAGATCTAGAATCCACCTGATCCATATGTATTATGTTGTTGTTTAAACTTACCCTCTACTATTAGGCACTAAATTTAGAATTTTAGGAAACGGTGAGTCTAGATCTATATGATATTAATGAAAAGCCCTGTACAACACATAGATCTAGATCTAGATTCTAGATCTAGATCTAGATTCTAGATCTACTTATTTTGTGTTTAACTTTAAGAATGTGACTATTTCTCCGAAAGCTCGGGAAAATAAACTTGACCTCTGGTCTATTTCTCCGAACGTTTTATCCGTTCTAGAGATTTTTTGGTTATTTGCGAGATTAAGGCGTTAACTTTCATTCTGCGAGGACTGGGAAGAAGCATGTTTTTTGCCACGAATTCAATTTCTAGAGCTGGATCGATTTTTAAATGTCTGAATATTCTGATATAATAGAAGATCTATATTCTAGATCTACATCGATCTAGATCTACTTCAATTGTGGTTGGGGCAACGTTCCCGGACTAGATCTAGATCTAGATCTATACTTCATTTGAAAATGCCTTCAAAAGGTACTGCGAGAAAACAAGACTGCTCGACTTTGGCAATAACATATTTTGCATTAGTCACCCCCAAAGCAAAATCTAAAATATTTTCTGTAAACAAGAAAAATCCCACAAGCTTCCATGCCCCCCCCCTCCCCCCCGTTCACTCTTAATTACACACACACCAAGGAGTTTACAGTAATGGAGGATGCTCTGTGGGCGGCACCGCACGCCTGATAGGAGCCCTCTCTCGCAGCGGAACTGTGGTCTACCTGCGCTGCGCTCACGCACTGAAATCTAGATATATAAGAAAGAAGGTTTTATTCCGAGATTAGGAAAGTCAATAAAAAAAATTAAATGCCTTCCACCTGTTTTGTGTTTAAGTTTAAGAACCGATATGATGTTGCAGTGGACAGAAGTTTTCACAGGTGTTGTTTTCCTTTTTAAAAAAAATATGAATGAAAGTGTTTTTATACCCCCAGCGACACAATTTAGGTCACTATCATTTATAAGAGGCTGGCTGCGGCGCTACCTGCCAAGGCCAACCTGGGCAGAAAGGGGACTGTAACAACACTGAAGAAAGACCGAGATGCTTGATTAAAAAAAAAATTCTTATTCTAATGTGTGCGTGTGTGTGTATGTATACATATTAAACATTTTAATTAAAGTATATATTGCTTTCCATTGTGTGTGTAAATTACATGCTTTGCGCAGTATACCTTTATTTTGACGGGACAAAATCTAGAGTCTAGGTTTCTACATGTATCTTGTTTTCATATATTTACTAACCATATAACACACCTTAGCGTGTTGAGTTCAATCAGTCAGTCAGACTTGTTTTATGTTTTTAAGCCCATTCATCTCCTAATTACTATAAGACTACTGTTGCCTAGATAGATATCGAGAGGCTACATTAAAATATATGAAATCAATACCCAACAACAATAATAATGAATATCTTCTATTTTAAAGAAACACCAAACCATATCAGATGAACGGAGGATGTAGGGTGGGTTGATAAGAGTTTGAGTCTTGTTTGATAAAACTATACTCGGTTTGGATCTAAAAATCTATTGTTGTAGTCTTCACCTAAGATCCTACAATTTATAATTCCGGTTCACTTAAGATTTCGCTGTTCAAAAATAAACCAAACAAGGCAACAGTAAATTTTACTGCACTAGTCGTGATAAATTATCCCCATCTGAAGTGTGAAAGGACTAAAAACGCTGCTTTCCCTATCGTACTTTACTGAACAAAAAGCATGGGATCACATCTCCGCTCTAAATCTTCTTGATCTTCTTGATTTTTAAACTAGCTATATAACATAAAACTCTTAAATAATTGAACAGTCCCTAGGCTTTCTCAGTTGCCTAGAACAGTTCGTATCACACACAGAATTTAATTTTTTTCTCTCCCTGTCATTCTTTCCGTCATCCCGTCA